CAGAGGCAGGCGGATTTCTGAGTTCGAGAGTTCGAGGCCAGCCTGGTCTACAGAGTGAGTTCCAGGACAGCCAGAGCTATACAGAGAAACCCTGTGTCGAAAAACAAAAAACAACAACAACAAAAAAAAATCTTTCCACCTGCCGGGCCGCTTGAGTTCTTTCTGTTGCTTTTTTGTTTCTTTAAAAATCTTTCCACCTGCCGGGCAGTGGTGGCACACGCTTTTAATCCCAGCACTTGGGAGACAGAGGCAGGCGGATTTCTGAGTTCGAGAGTTCGAGGCCAGCCTGGTCTACAGAGTGAGTTCCAGAACAGCCAAAGATACACAGAGAAAACCTGTCTCGAAAAACAAACAAACAAACAAACAAAATCCTATTTATGTGCGTGTGTGTGTGTGTGTGTGTGTGTTTTACAGGTAGCATTTTGCTTCCTTCCACCATGTAATGTAAGTTCTGGGAGTTGAACTGAGGCCATCCGACTTATGCTGCAAGCTCCAGGTCACAGTCTGCCTTTCTTAGTTCTGACAGGTCCATACTCAAAGCCATAATGGGCCGGATGCCAAGGAGCATTTTACACTGAGATTTATCCATGAACTGTTTTCTTCCCACCTGCTCCAGGCTTCTTTGAGGTCTCTACTGTGTGCCAGGCACTATTCATACATAGCACTGTGGTATATGCTCTCCTCTGATCCTCACTGCCATCCCCTAAGGCAGATCTTTCATATTCCGATTTCAATACAACCAGGAAATGGGAAGACTTAGGAAGGCAAGATGCTCAATCAGTCATGGGTCTGTGTGCCATTCTACTTCCTGTTGGTAGGGTTTTATGCTGTGAATCATTAGGTAACTTGGCATCCTTGTGTACACAGCAGAGTATGCTGGATTGCTGCTGATGGGCCTGTGTCTGTGGGAGATGCCTTACGTTGTCCAAGCTCTGCATTTCTCTGCTTAACCTGCTGTTTTCTCTGTAAGGACTGGCTCTCACCACCCCACTCCTTCTACATGCCTCATCTTCATATTCAGAGCCATAAAACACATACTGGCTTAGGAAACTGAATCTCAAGAGTGGACTTGTTTTATCTAAGGGGGACCTTTTGGGCTGCGGCTATAGTTCAGTTGGCCGAGTGCTTGCCTACCGTGTACCTACCAGCTCCCTCCAGCAGCACATATGTGAGCGTGTTTTGGAGCGCCCCTGTAATCCTGCATTCAGGAGTAGAGGGCCCGAAGTTCAAGGTCATCCTTGAGTACACAGGAGTTTGGGATAGATGTGACTGTTTCAAAAAACAGAAGGCTGGTCATGGAGCTTGTAATCTATACTGAGGGAGGCAGAGACAGGTAGATCTGAGTTCAAAGCCAGCCTGCTATCCCATCTCCTTTAAGCCTAAACCTAAGCTTAACCATACCCTGATCTTTTGTTCACAGGGACTCCCAGGACAAATCTTGTCCTTGGAAAGGATTGGACTTGTAGGAAGAAGGGACAGGAATGTTAGATCAGAGATTCCATTGCCCTAATAGAGCTCTCAGAGCAATACCAATACCCTGAAGACTTGGGATTCTCTTGAGACAGGAAGGGTCAGAATAGATCATGTCTCCTTTAAGAATCCCTGCTGCCTATATAGTTACTGGGTCCCTAGAGCTGAGGGCGGAGCCACTTAATAGCTTCACATCCTACCACACCTAGGGGCTCCTCCCCAGTCCCTCCCCACCTCCCTCTGGGACTCCCAGGGCCAATTACTTGCCAGGCAACAGCCTTCTGCTCAAGAAAGCCAGCAAGCAAGATGAGGGCCTGGCAGCGCCACTGGGAGCAAAGCTGCCTGGCACAGAAAGGCAGCCCTGGGTATGGGGCAGGAGGTCTCCAAGGGTAGAGACTGTCACATAGTCACTTCCTCCCTCTCTGTGTTGCATTATCTGGGTCACTGTAAGTGGGTGAATCCTGCTGGCCACCCAGGCATGAGATGTATGGATAAGAGAAGGGGGTCATAGCAGAGGACCCCTTAAAGTGGCCTCCTGCAGCTTTGAGGTTCTACCCAGGTTCTTTCTGCCTTTGTGTATAGTTAAGGAGTAGAGGTAGTTCCTGCAGGTGTTGGCTGCATCAGAGAGAAGGAAAAAAAATCCCAGGAAGAATGTGAAATTCCTAAAAGGATGAGCAACTAGCCAGGAAACCCACTGCCCACCTCCCCCTCCCACACCCTAACACACACATCCCGAGAAGCCCCTTCAGATGTGTGCTCCTTGCAGAGGCTCTGGTCATGACTGAGCTTCTAAGTAATTTGGGGTCCCTACCATGTTCTTCCATGTCAGATAAACACAAGCCTATGACAGACAGGAAGAAAAGGAGACAGACATTGGATCCGTGAGATCCAGGACAAGCCCGCGTAGGGAGAGTTTAGCATTCACTGGTTTAGAAAGACAGAGGGACTGTAGATCCTTTTGCAGGGGACTGAGAATCTGCACATAGACCAAACAGACACACTCCCTAGGGAATTCTCCTCTGGCTGCTGA